TATCTCTCTATTTTTGATTAGATTCTTAGGCAGGGCTCCTACTATTAGATTTTTCCACACTCTTCTAATATTTTCCTAATCATTTACTGAACTTGTTGGTGTGCCTATATTAACCCATATTTCTTTCCTAGATTTCTTGACAACTCTGCCTATCTCAATAGCATTGTGTGTATCATCTTTATTGTCTATTAGTATATATTCTCTTTTTCTCTTATCAGAGGAGAGGTTCGGCAGCCAAATCTTCATTGCTAGACCGTTACTGCTGCTGAGTCGCCATTCTTCTTGAAGGTCCCTTTTGAGTAGGTCTACTAGCAATATATTTTCCAAGCTTTAAAACCATTTTGTCTTTCTGACTTTACTTGGCATATTTCTCAAAACCTTCATCTGCTTCTATGTAATCATTTCTGAACCTTCTGAGTTGATTAATTGATATGTGTAGAATATGCCTAACTTTTGCAGACTTTTAAAATCTTGTGTCGTTAAACTAGAGCCAATATATATAAAATAGTAAAAATAGGTTTAGAAATATTATATATAGTATATTCATGATTTGCATTTAAAACCTATATAAAGCAACAAAGAGATCTTGTAAGATCTGAAGAATATGAAGTTTTGATAATGTATATGAGATTATACAATTAGATGATGAGATTAGTATAATATATACAGATTGAATCAATAAATAATAGATACATATCAGGAGACAAATCTCCTGGTATATACCTATTATTCTACCACACATTCGCCAAATAACTGTAGCATATTAGTAGCATATTGGTAATATATAGGTTAGATATTAGGAGGTAGATCAATAATGGTAACATACCAGTAACATATCAAAACATCCCGATATCTTACTCTTATCCAAATAGTGCTAAGAGTAAGATATCGGGATGTCCTAGTATGTTACTGTTATGTTATTATTATCGATCTACCTCCTAATATCTAACCTATATGTTACCAATATACTACTGATATGTTACAGTTATTTGGCAAATATGTGGTAGAATAATGGGTACATACCAGGAGATTTGTCTCTTAATATGTATCCATTATTCATTGATTCAACCTGTGATATTTGGTATATATTAGAACACCAAGTACTTGTATATGTATATATTCACAGCATACTAGAACACTATATTAACATATAATTGTAATATATCTATTGTGTTTGCATACTCATGTTTTATTAAATAAAATTCATTAACATTGATATGTATAACATAATGCAGAAGCTGATTATATTCCACAGCTTGCTACTAACATTTTCAAAAAGTTGTCAGAATATTACTATAATACTTTATTGAATATTATACAAAGTGCTTTGGAATATATTCTTGAATACTAAGACTACAAAAAGATTTAAATATTTTACAGCAAAATAATTTAAATACTACTAATATTAATAATATTATAAACTATTGTTACAATGCTATAGCCTTCTTAGTGTAAATATAGCAAAGTAACAAGGTTACCCAGTATAGTGATATACTTTATGAATATACACGGGGTGGACGTGAAGTGTATACTTTAACTTCACAGCAGGAGGCAAATGGTTCGAGATTATAACAGTTTATAGATAAT